GGAGATCCTTCCGCCTCAGCCTTCCGAGTACCTGGAACTACAGGCACGCGCTACCACACCCGACTCATTTTTGATTTATTGTAGAGATGAGGTCTCTCCAAGTTGCCAGGCAGGTCTCGAACCCACGGTCTCAGTCAATTCACTCACCTCAGCCTCCCAAAGGCGCGGAATTACAGGCTGAGCCACCAAGCCCGGCTTTGTATATATTTTTTGTGTGAGAGAACTCTACAGGTGCAAAAAAAGAGGTGTATAATTTGTTGGGGAGATGATGAAATAGGATGTATTTTCAGGGGTATTTTACATTACACAGCTATGGGTAAAGTAAAGGCAAAATTCTAAGGTGTGCCCACAATTGAAGAAGTCTTTCTATTTCTCACAGAAAAGTGCAAAAAAACCCCACATAAGACTCCTTTATTCATGAAGAAAGATGCCCATCATGGCAGTTTGGATAACTCAGTAAATCAAAATGTGCTGAAATTGAAGGAAGAGGAAAAGAAAAAAGAAGAAGATGCCAGAATTGAAAACAAGACCTTGATTTCCAGATCTTCTTTCCGAAAAACTTTGGTTGGAACTCAAACGATTTTCCAAGTTCTCTGTAACAGGTATCAAAAGGCCACCAGTTCAGAAGGTGAGACTAGATCTTTTACAATGGCTATCTCAAAATTTCCAACATATAGCATCTTCTGTGACACTCCATCCTTCCTTTACCAAAGTGTCATTTTTGCTGAAACTATCACTGTCCTTTTAGAGGGCACCTTGCCTTTTGCGGGGGTAGAATCTAGTTTCCAACTAGCAAAAAATAACTAAGTCCTTGTTGTAGGTCGTTCATAGTTACTAGCAGAGACCTTGTGATACAGATATAAAGAATACCTAAACCTAAACCTGGATTTGGTCAACTGTGAACTCTGTGATGTCATGCAAGTTTCTCTGTCTCTCTTGCTCCTTAGTCATCTGTCTTAACATATTTGAAATGCAAAAGTTCCATTACTATTTTACAAGGCTGTGGAAGGCTAGAAAAATAGTCATGCCGGGCACATGATAAAACTTCCCCCAAATACCAGCTCTCATCCAGAACACTCTTCTCTGAACTCCAGACTCAGCTAGCTACACCTCCAACAATTGCTGAAGTGTTTCACTAGTTTCATTAAACTAAGATATCAAAATTAAATACGTATTCTCCTGACCAAATCTATTTTACTTGCATCCCTGTTCAATCTCATGAAACAAAACTAACATCTACCCAGTTTTTCCCACTAGAATGCAATTTGTTTCTTCACTAGTCAATCATAATAGTTAGTAGAGTGCCAGAGATAAGATTTATTACTTTGATGTCTATGTTTCCCTATAAAAATCAAATTATACTAAGGAACAATACATTAACTTGGTGTCTAATTAACCCACCACAAGAAGATTAATCATCATATTATTTTCAAGTCTAAATTTTGATTGATAACAAAAATTCTGAAGAATTAACCATCTAGATACAGCCAGGCTCGGTGGCTCACCCTGTAATCCCGCACCTTTGGGAGGCTGAGGGGAGTGGATTGCCTGAGCCCGTGGGTTCGAGACTCGCCTGGGCAGCGAGACCTCATCTCTACAATAAATCAAAAAATCAGCCGGGTGTGGTAGCGCATGCCTGTAATTCCGTACTCGGAAGGCTGAGGCGGAAGGATGGCCGGAGCCCAGCAGGTCGAGGCTGTGGTGGCCGGGAGCGGCCACTGCACTCCAGTCTGGGCGACAGAGTGAGACTCCAACTCAAAAAAAAAAAAAAAAAAATCTAGATGCATTCAAAACTTTGTTAGTTAATCTTCTTACCGAGCATATTAAGTATGGTTAAGCATTTTGAGCATAAAGATGTGGGTATAAGGTTTGTGAAAAAAATGCAAATTCAAAGACATAGTACTTTCTTCAAGGAAACTGAAGACAGAGAAGAGAAAAAACCTACAATCTGGCAGAAGAAATTCACTAATCTACAAAAGTGCACATATTTGATATTATAAATCTAGAAAAGAGCTCTTTGGAGCACATATTTCAGAAAGAACACCATTATCATGGGATGTGAGCAAGAGAAGAAATATAAGTACAATGGATGACCAGGAAGTTACCATTAGGATCAATGCCACAGAAAAAGAATGAGAACTATACATACATATTAGATTATTAAATATTTATATATAACATATATATAATAACAAAACCAAAACATATATAAAAACGAAATGTATATAATAACAAGAATAAAACAAGTTAAGGGCAATGAATCCATAAACACAGCCTCGTATGAATCTGATGAGGTGAGTGACTTCTATAGTTACAGTAAAAAAGGTGAGTAAACATTTGTTGGAGAGATGGTGAAATAAAATGTATTTTCAAGAGTATTTCACAGCACAGAGCGATGTCTTAAGTGAGTGCAACACTCTTTAAGCTGTGCCCATAGTTGAAGTGTCTTTCTATTTCTCACAGAAGATGAACTGGCCAATAAAATACTCAGTATTTTTAGATCCACGAGCAAAGCTGTCGGTCATAGAATTTTGAATAACTTGGAGCAAAATATGCTGAAACTAAAGGAAGAGGAAAAGAGAAAATATTATCATGCTGACCTTGAAAACAAAGTCCGGGTCTTGGTAGACTTTGTGCTAGAGAAACATATGACAGATCAAACGTTTATTCCAGTGCTTCTTAATATGGTTCAGAAGTTCAACAGGATAGCAGGTAAGACCAGATCTTTTACAATAGATATCTCAAAATTTTCACAGCCTATTCAACCCTAAAGTCCATGCAGTGTCCTCTGTGGTCTTCCTTTACTTTACAAAGGTATCATTCTCACTCACCTATTATTGTCTTTTTAGAGACCACCTTGTCTTTTATGGCGTGGGATTCAGATTTCAACTAGCTTAAAAACGAAGTCCTTGTGTGCAGTCTGCTCATACATAGTTACCGGTAGAGGCCTTGTACAAAGAGTGCTAGATTCTGGCACCTGTGAACTATGGGATAGTCTTATTTTATTTTATTATTTTTTGAGTCAGAGTCTCACTCTGTCGCCCAGGCTGGAGTGCAGGGGCACACTCACGGTCACCCCAGCATCAACCTGCTGGGCTCCAGCGATCCTTCCACCTCAACCCTCCAAGTAGCTGGAACCACAGGCATGCGCTACCACGACTGCTATTTTTTTTTTTATTTATTGTAGAGACAATGCCTCACCAAGTTGTCCGGTCTGGTCTCGAACCCACAGGCTGAGACAATCCACTCTCTTCAGCTTCCCAAAGTGCTGGGATTACAGGCTAGCTGTCTAGTCATCAATCTCAGTATCTGTGAAATGGGGACAATCTCAACACCTTCTCATAAGGTTTTGTAAGGCTGGTAACAATAATGCCAGGAATATGCCAACAACTCTCAAGAATTAGCTTTCATTCAAGAATTTCTTCTCTGAGCCTCATTTAGTTCTGGCTACACACTCAACATTTCTCTGAAGTGTTTCACTTCCTTCATAAAACGATTATATCTAAAATTAAACGTTTGTTTTCCCAAACAGAACTATTCCACTTTTATTCCCTTTTCATCTCAGTAAACAAAAGGAGCATTTACCAAGTTTTTCCCACAGGAACGTGATTAATGTTTTTTTTTGTACCAATGAATAACGATGGTACACTTTCTGACACATAGCAGATACTTAATATAGGATGAATAAACAAATGAATTAAATATATGTAGTTATTTACATGAAATCAATATTAGTTATAATACTTATTATGTGGATGTCAAGATTTAGACTATTGCAGGGTGCACCCACTTCTGTGATTTATTAAAGATGATCAGATAACTGTATAAAATATATAAAACTTTAAAACTTCTCACAACTTTTGACCCAGATTGAATTATGAGTATTATTTGAGCCTAAATGTTCTCATGTACAAGTTTATTACTGACAGACTCCGTTTGTCACAGAGTTTAAACCAAAATCTTCAGTCCTGAAGTTCCAGAGTTTGCTAATAATGAAAAACAGTGAATGAAGGCAATATAATTTGCTGAGACCTCACTAAATCAAATGAGTTTTTTCAATAAGCTGTTGTGTATGAAAAGGCAAGTTCCCACCATCAGGAAGCACATGCTAATAGGATAATTCGCCATGATCACATCCAAGGCTGAATTCTTAATATTGATACTGGTCGTTTCGCAGCATTTTTCCTTTTCTTTTACCTGGGATGGCCTAGGAACAATCTTGATTTTTGAAAATCACCGATAATGCAGCAAATGGGAATGAGAATTGAAGTAATAGATGTTTCAAAAATGATTTTAGCAACTCCAGGAATCACAATGAGCAGTCAACTCTAAACTGAAATGTCCTATGGTAATCAGCAGAAGCTGTGGCAGAAAAGAGGCAGCTGCAGACCCTCTCAGGAGGGGTTCTTGGTGTCTTATCAGAGTTTGGATTCTCCAGGTGATTCCCCAGACAATTTGGATACCCAGGCCAGGATGCTGGGTGAGCAGCGTTATTAGAACAGGTAAAGGCCTCTGACCAGGTCTTTAGCCATGGATACATCCTGAGGTTTTCCAGCACAGTATTGAGGTTATGGAGTGAAGGATAGGAAGAATTTAAGCTATTTATTGGTTTCTTTCATTTAACAAATTCTTATGTACATACATACAATGCGTCAAGTCATGTTATTTAGTTGAAAAGATAACAACGTTATTTCTTACCTGCCAAGGGAGATTGCGTTGTCTCATCCTTTCTTTTTGTATCAACTTAGAAAGATTTCTGAGCATTTCATTAAGGCAACCAGATAAGACTCAGAAATTAAAATTTTCATCAAATCTCCTAATTTTCGCATTTCTTTGTTGCATTGGCAAACTAATCAGAACTTCTTCCAGACAACAGACTGCTCTATAATATTTATGGTTTTGTAATGAAATGATTTGTTTTTAATACTAATTTTATATTGACTATAAGAAAGACATTCTGTCTTTTTCATGACTTTACTTGAAAATACTATATCTCTACATAGGTGCATAATGATGATTAGAAGATTACTAAGCTAGAAAGTTCTCCAAATCTGTAAATAAATCAGAAACTGGAAACTGTAGATAAGAAAACATACCCTCTAGAAAATACCTCTGGACCCTGACTGTCTTCACAATGGCAGAATTTATGAGACAAGAAGGAAGAGCATGTGTCACTGTTTAGTTTGTAAAAATAAATTCTCAGCAGGTTTGGCATCCTTACATATTCTCACAACTTGCTGTGTCTCCAGAGTTTAAGCTAATATCACACTTTTTAGAAAGACATTTATCTAAATAATTGTTAAAAAAAAATCAAAAAACTAATGGCAACACACGATTGAAAGAGAAGAAATATACAAAACCCTGAAAATTACTTTTCTCATTAAAATAAATAAGAAAACATCTGGTTAGCTCTTGTAACTGAATAGAAACACATAACTGTCAACTCCTTTCATGGAAGAAAATAAAATCTCCCTTATTAGATCTTGGTAAACTTCTAATTTTTGTTTTTAAGTTATTTTTGTTGGAAATTCCTTTTCCTTTCTCCTTTAAGGGAGGGCTCTAGAATTTCCCAGTCTCTCACACAATCTCAGAAAAATGAGGTCAAGTACTGTCTGATTATATTACATTTCTCTACCAGAGAGATCAGAATGTCTCAGAAACAAATGGTTCAAAAGAAACATATTATTTCCTTACATTATAAAACATGGGTTAAAACTTTAGTGTTGGCTGTTGAGCACATTAGAGGCAAGATACCCAGATTTATATCAGAATATCTGACCAAAAAAAAAAAAAAAAAAACTGCTTTGTTGTTGGACACGGCACTATCTTTACTAGACAGCATTTGTCCATTAAATAGCTAACTTTAGTGAGAATAGTTAAAGTCCATTTCTCTAGAAAGGTTAAGAATTCATGTTAAGATTGTTGTAAAAATAGCACTTGGATGATAGAGAATTCAAGATTTCATTAAGTGTGTGATATCTGCCTTTTTCTGTAGGTGTTGTATGGATTAAGAGGGCACAACCCAAAATCAGACATTGTACCATTCAGCATGGTAACCACTATCCATATGTAGCTATTAAGTACTTGATCTATTTCTATACCACATGTTACTATGATAGTATTTTTGGATATACTATGTTCAGTGAAGCATATTAATGAAATTAATTTCATTTGTTTAGTTTTACTTTATAAATATCGTATTAAAAATTTTAATATGACACATGGGACTCATTATATTTCCAATAGCACTCTGCCCAATATTTCTCCGATATTTTGCTCAGACACAAAGGAAAGTCCACATGTATGAATGAAAATCCTAGAGTAGAACCATGGGAAAAAATTAACCTGTTAGTTCTGAATATGGAAAAGCCAGATTTAACCCCAAATGACTAAGATATTTTTTCCCATAATTATGGGAATCTATTATTTTGGGGAGAAGGGTGGATCTGATTCTCTATCAAGGATTCAACTGTTCCTTCTTAGTAATAATCCATCTCCCTAAGTGAGGGCTAGATTCAGTTATAACCCCTATATGTAAAGGATTCTTCTTCCAAGATTTTCTCCTTTCTTGGTCTTCTTAGGTAATGTCAGTTCACAGAGGCAGAAATCACAATTTATATTATATGATGTATCCTGCAGCTCTTCCTGGACCAGTTGAGTCAACAGAATCTCCAAATTCCCTCAAGCTTTGTTCTCATGAAGAATCCCTGAGACTGTGTAAAGAAAAGAGAAAAAAAGATGGACAGGTGCTGTGCTCTATGCATGAAACAGAAAGAGAGAAACAATTGGCTTCACTATACACAGTACATTTATTTTTTCTTTTTTTGAGACAAGGTCTTGCCTTACCTCAGAATGGAATGTAGTGGCCAAATCAGCAACTTTGAGCCCTTGGGCTCAATAGATCCTGCTTCTTTGGCCTCCTAAGTAGCTAGAATTAAAGCTATGCAAAACCACTCCCAACTAATTGTATTTTTTGTAGAGATGGGGATTTCACTAATTTTCCAAGGCTCGTCATGAACTCCTGCTCTTAAGAAGTCCTGTGAACTCAGCCTCCTAAGCACTGAGATTACAGATGTGAGTCACCGTGCCTGGTACAAATCCACAGTGTCTTAAAGCACTAATTAATTAGGGGTGAGAACAGTGGTAACCTTTTAAATAGATGTTTTCAACAAAGAAGGGATCACGTGGCTTTAGACTGATTCTAATTCTATTTCAGCCCATAATAAAATGCAGACCCTTCATTTTGTTCATTTATTTATTCTATTTATTTTTGATGTATGACAGTTTCGTCTTTAGCCATAGAATCATAGTATGTATAAGATAATGTGGATTTGCAGTAATTGCTTATACTGGAAACAATGAAAAATGTCTCTTGTTTCTTGTAAAGTTGATCTGAACTTCGGACGCAAGAAAGAATTGCGTAGGTGGAGAACAAAAGGTAGACAGAGTTGGTAGAAATTATTCTAGTTTCTTCAAGATTTCTGAGTACCTCTTCTAGATATGTCCTAGTTTTTCCTCTGGGCTTTTGAGAGAGTAGAAGGTAGTATCCTCTAGCAGAGGTAGGGAAGGGCAGCTTCATGAGGTCATAGTAAAACATCTACGGGTATATGGGCATTCAAAAGAGAAGCGAGTAAATCAAATCATCATTCATCTACCTTCTCCAGATCTATCCAATAAAGGAGAAAAAAGATCGCACTTTCCTGGCTCTCATTATTTGCAATACAGAGTTTGACCATCATCCTTCAAGAGACGGGGCTGACATTGACACCACAGGGATGAAGTGCTTGCTTGAGAACTTGGGCTACACTGTGGATGTAAAAGAGAACCTAACAGCCGAGGTAACAGCCCCTCACCCACTCCTAACTCACAAATTCGTCTACTAACTAGTTAGCTTTATTAAAGCTCAAAAAAGCTTTAACAAACTCAGGCCATGTGTGTGGTGTGTGTGTGTGTGTGTGTGTGTGTGTGTGTACTAAATGAAGGTAGTAGATAGGTAAAATCTGTCTCCTCTGAGCTCCTCAACTCCATGAAACTGAACAAAACATGACTGCCATGTGTTTTTAACAATTTCCATCGAGTTGTAAAGTGGGTTACTGGGGATTCTCCCTCAAAATTCCCCAGAAAATTCTAGAATAATGACTGCCAAGCAAGAGTGCACACATAAAAACAAATATTGAGTCCTAAACTCAGCTCCAAGAGCTCTTCCTGGCACTGGGTATCAGCCACTTTGATCTAGTTTAAAGCAGAGACCAGTCAAAATATAAGCAAAAAACCAATTTCAGACATTTCACTGTCTACATAACAGCAAAAAGAAAGTCAAAAGTAAGTGAAAAGAAAAGGGTAAAGAAAACACAAGAGAGAATTGGTGGGTTGGAAGCAATGTTTGATAGGGTGGTCCAGAAAAGCCTTGGTGGGGCGACAGCACAGGAGATGAAACTAGCCAACCTGAAGGTGATACTCTAGAAAAACTGTGAGTGCAGTGTGTATTCGTCCATTTTTGCATTGCTATAAATAAATACCCAAGGTTGTGTATTTATAAAGAATAGTCGGTCTCACAGTTCTGCATGGTGCCACCATTTGCAAGGCTTCTAATTAGGCCTCAGGAGCTTGCAATCCTGGTGGAGGGCAGAGAGAGAGAGAGGAGGTGTGGCACGTGGCTGGGGCAGGAGTAAGAACTAGAAGAGGCGGGGCCAGGTCCTTCAAACAATCAGAGCTAACAGATGTGGAACCTATTCATTTCAGCAATAAGAGCACCAGGCCACTTATGAGGGACCCACCATAATGCAGTCACCTGCCACTAGGCCCCACCTCCTACCTTGGGGATCCCATTTCAACATGTGCTCTGGAGGGGACAGCGATACAAATGGTATCAAACACCTTCCAAGGAGGAGGGGCTACACAGGAAGGAGCCAAACCAGAAATGAAAAAGGCGTGAGAGAGGCACAGAGAGATGAGGGGTGTGACTAGCATTTAAAGGAGAAGGGAACAGAGAGGAGGGTGGAGGACAGTCAAGCCACAAGTGAGTTTTATTCTAAGCACAATGGGGTAGGTTTTAGAAGTAAAGGACTTGATGCATTTATAACCAATGACTCTTGCTAGGACAGAAAGGAGAAGAGATGGAAAAGAAGAAATAACGTGAGTGACATACATAATAGATAATATCTCAAGAAGACAGTTTATGTATGACAGCAGGAAAAGAACATAGGAACCCACTCTCTGTTAAGAAAAAAATAAAATAAAACTGCTACCATCATTGAGTAGCCAGTATGAGAAGGCACCAGGGATTGTCATGTCTCATTCTCTTGTTGCTCATGGTGAATCTAGGAGATCAGATTAATTGTGATGCTTACTGTACTGATATCATGTGGGACTTTTCCAGGAAATGGAGACAGAGTTGCGGAAATTTGCAGCCAGACCAGAACATAAGTCCTCAGACAGCACATTCTTGGTGCTCATGTCTCATGGCATCCTGAATGGAATCTGTGGAACAAAGGACAGGAAAGAGAAACCAGATGTGCTACCTTATGACACCATCTTCGAGATATTCAACAACCGCAACTGCTGTAGTTTAAAGGACAAACCCAAGGTCATCATTGTCCAGGCCTGCAGAGGTGGTGAGTCCTAAGATGGAAACCCAAAAGTTCTGAAAGTGTTTGCTAAGGATAGTGACATATGATTTACACCTACGGGAAACAATCTTCGAATCCATGTAGTGCAATTAAGCAACATGGAATTCAGAGGACACTTTCTCAGTGAGGCTGGTATTAGGATACACTACATGATCAGCTGAGAAATAGCTACACAATTTCATCCAGGGTAAAAGACAAAGGAGACCATCAGAATTCCTAAGTCAAGGTTAAAGCAGAAATATTCAAACTATCTTTTTTTTTTTTTGAGTTGGAGTCTCACTCGGTTGCCCAGGCTGGAGTGCAGTGGCTGCTCCCGGCCACCGCAGCCTCGCCTGCTGGGCTCCGGCGATCCTTCCGCCTCAGCCTTCTGATAGCCGGAATTACAGGCATGCGCTACCACGCCCGGCTGATTTTTTGATTTATTATAGAGATGAGGTCTCGCTGCCCAGGCGGGTCTTGAACCCGCGGGCTCAGGCAATCCACTCACCTCAGCCTCCCAAAGGCACGGATGACAGGCTGAGCCACCGGACCCAGCTCAAACTATCATTTTAATGATAGTTTGATTTGTACATGTTTTATGGACATTCTGACATGATCTGGTTTGAGGAGAATTAGTTTTGAAAGGGAACCATCATGTAATAGCAACACCCCATTAGTCTATTAATTATTAGAAAGGAAATTATTATGTGTGTCTGTATGAAAATAATCAGAAGGAACATTCCAAAAGAATGAGGTGGGCAGTTGAGATGGTAGAACTGAGAGAAGCATGATGGTGCATAGAAAATTTATGTCTCCACAGGAAACTATGGTGAGGTGTGGGTCACAGACTCCCCAGCAGCTTTGCCTATGAGATCTACACAGACACCTCAGGACATGAAGAATGATGCTGTTTGCAAGACTCATGTGGAGAAGGACTTTGTTAAATTCTGTTCCTCAACCCCACGTATGTGTCTTTTAGTGGCAGCCAGGAATCTGTGGTCCTGAAGCTGCCTTGGAATGATTCTAGAAAAATCAAAACAGGCTCTACACAGCAATGATCTTACAGCAACATCATTATCACATTGTTTAAAATGGTGTTTTTCATAGGAATGTTACACTTTACAGTCGAAGGCATACCACGTAAAAAAGGATCCTAACAGAACGAACCCCTTTTATTTAAGTATTAATAATCGATTCTGATGTTTGTTGAATCTATTTAATATTTTGAGTAGAGAGTTTAAGGATTCCAGGACTAATTGTCCTTTCTCAGGTATCAACTTCAGGGCTTTTGTCCATGTTTCCCAACTGACTCTACCTAGAGCAGTGCCAATGCATGTCCCAGTGGGATTGGGGATACCCTTTACAAGGAGTCAGAGATGATGTTGGGCTGATTAGGCCTACTCACAGGGAACAGCATTTGATAGTTCACCACTAAGTAATCATTTTAAGGAAACTTATTTTTGGCTGTGTCTAATTTGCAAATTTTTGAGATTTTTAAGATGTATTTTTCAAGACAACTTTCATTGAGGCATAATTGACATACAAAATACTATACATATTTAACATATACAACTTAATAGGCTCAGAGATAGGTGTACATCTATGAAACCCATCACCAAAATCTGTTCCATAAACTTATTCCTCACTTTTAAAACATTCCTCCTGCTCTCCATTTATGATTATCATCATTGTGTGTGTGAGTGAGTGCGAGAGAGAGACAGGGAGAAAGACAGAGAAAGGTAGAGAGAGACAAAACAGAGACAGAGAGAGAAAGGATATTTGAGGTAAAAATTTACCCACTTAGCGGGTTTCTAGAGGATGTAATACAGTATTGTTTCCCATGTATTTTTAACTATTGGCACCATGCTCTACAGTAGATTTCTAGCACTTATCCAAGTTCTGTAAATGAAACTACATCCCGTTCATCATTTTGCTTATTATATTGTGAAAATGTGGTGTAATCTGTAAACCACCTTGGAGCCAGGTGGCAGGTTTTTGTTGCTTACTCATTGTGTGAACATTGGGAAATTCCTTCATTCGTCTGAACCTCTAGTCTTTCCTCTGTAAAGTGGGATAATTACAGTTATTTCCCATGCCTCCATTCAATGCCAAGTGAATGAACATGAGACACATTATATGAAGTCAGATTCAAGCATCAAAACAGAATCACTATGCAATCTCTTGCAATTCTGACTAGCTGCTGCTTTAGTTCAACCTTTGCCAGCCTTTCTGTTTCCTCTCTGTAGAAAATGTGTAAATGCTGGGTTACAACTGCTTCCCCTAAACCTGTTAAAATTGATTCCAGAGGTAAACTTCTTAATGTACCAACATCAAAAATTTAAACAAATAAATTATGAAGGCCAGAGCACAAGGCTTACTACTTTCTGTTGTCTTAGATAATGTTTCTTGGAGAGACACCACCAGGGGTTCCCTGTTCATCACAGAGCTCATCTCATGCTTCCAGGAATATTCTTGCTGCTATCACCTAATGGAAATATTTCAGATGGTAAGCTAAGTTTTTCATTTCTTTTCCATTCATTCGTTTGTTGGTTTGTTTGTTTTTCAGGAAGAATTTATCATTATCATTATTCACTTTTCAAGTAACAGTAACAAACTTTGTCAGGCAAGTCAAAGAAGAGTGCTACCTTACTTCTTGTGCACTAGTATTTAAAATCTGGTTTAGAAAAAAAAAATATCAATATATCACAGCAGGGGATAAAAGCAAAACAAAATGATACAGTCAGAAGCTTGTATGTCATGGGATATCAGTTCTTATAATCCAGTAAGTGGAAACAGCTTTGAATTCATTTTAAATGCATAATTTATTTAATAAATACTTATTGGATAGTAACGTAGGTGATGGGCTCTATCCTGGTGACAGAGGGGTCAATGGAGCACGCATGGCATAAGTCTTTGCTCAACACCTCAACAGGCCTGGCACATTACAGACATTCAGTTAATATTAATTGAATAAATAGGTGCATGCATGAATAAATAATTGTGCCTACATTTTTTAGAGAAGAGGAGCATGGCATTATGAACACAGGAAATTTTGGTTGTTTTTAAATTAAATAAAACTTGAAGGAACAGTAACACTGTTGGGGAAAAGACAGGTACACTTTCTGTAGGTTAAAGAAGAGTGCATCATAAAATGAGTCAGGGTTTCTGTGTATGAAGACCTAGGAAGTTAAATCCTTTAGTATAAATAGAAATTAGCTATCATACTTTCCATTGCATTTCTGAAAAAAAACCCATAGAAATGCTGAATTTAGTGTTAGTTGGTCTTATTCATCATTTCATTTAAAAGACTTCAGAGCTCAGTTTCCTGATGAGATGTGAAATGTGTTCAGTGTTCAGGCCCTGAAGTTAAGATCTTAGGATTTAAGTCTCCTTAAATTGAGGAGTCAGTCTTGGTGAGGTTGAAGGTCGTCTTCTATGGTTAGGTTCTCGTGAAGAGATTCTAAGGGATAACTGATTGTCAGATCTATAAATCAGAAATGCAAAATAGAAGAAATGGAGATTGAAAGGCCTTGGCTTAGGGGTGTTTATTTTGGGGTTAAGAGTACAGTGTGGCATGGTATCAACTCTAAGAGGCAGTGTGGTAGCAGTGGTGAGCAGTTAGAATATCTATGTGGTTGGACACATCAACTTCAGAAGCACGTTTCATTTCTGTCATTTCCTCGTTCATGGTACAAGGTAAATTCTGAGAGTTTAAAAGGGTCACATCTCATCTAGATCGTTTTTCATTTTGTTTTTGTTTTAGGTACAACAATCATTTGAAAAACCAGGTCCTAATGCCCAGATGCCCACCATTGAAAGACAATCTCTGACAAAATATTTCTACCTCTATCCTGGCCATGGAAAATAGTGACTATTGTGGTTGGTGGGTGAGATAAATGGGAGAGTAATATTGGAGGTGAGACCTGATGACCAATGACAGCTGACTGCTTGGGTTATCAAATTCATATTTTTTAATTGCAAGTCTGGTAGTTATTGGATTGTTTAAAATTCTACTTATATGCATATGAATTCCCTCATCTCTACAATGAATTCACCAATGATGTAAGAAAAATTAAGGTGGGTTGTGATAAACAATGAAAGATCTTCAGTAGCAATTATTAAAATAAAATTTTACTCATGCATTTAAAATTACTTATGGTCATTTATTTCTTATGCTTCCCCCCTCAAAAAAAACCAAACCCAATAAATACTCACACCGAGTCAGAAAACATGGCACCAGACTCTCAACAAAACAGAGTAAACTGAGGAGCTGACTATAGAGAAAGCAAGACTTTGATTCTCAGATACAGATAGCACATTATTGACATTCAGCTCCCATCACCAGATAGTATCAATGCATCCTAGGCATTTGCAGGCTCTGTTTCTCAGACTGTTCTAACAGTGTAGGACTCAGATCACTCAGTGCCTGTTTTCAGAATTACTGCTCAGAAATGTCTTCAAGTGTCCATATTAACGCTTCAACTTTTTCTGTACAAATGATAGTTGAATGGGTACATTGAGTTTAGACCCAGTGATTACTTTCCTTACTAGTAAATGCTTTATATAACACCGCATTATAAGCATATTGTTAATCCCCCTCTCCGAAACATATTTAAAATTATATTTTATAGTAAAGTTGATCACAATACTTCACATATTCACCCATACGCACTGATATTTTTGTTCTCTGACATCCTAGTTTCAAAGTTGCTTAGATATTTCAGCAGGACAGCCTTCAGTGCCTAATTTTTCCAATAGGACTACACCACATTTGGACATTGAATTATCTGTTTGACTAATATTTATCAACATTTACCATGTACCAGATTCTGTTCTGGATACTTGGAATATACCAGCTAACAAAGTAAATAGATTCTTTACCCTCATAACGCTTATATTTTCATTAGTAGATACTTTGAATATATACAGGTAAATGTATAACAGATCAGAGAGTGATAAGAAGTAAGAAGAAAAATGAAGGTGAATAAAAGTAAATAGATGCTATAATGCTGTGGATGCATTACTTAGAAAAGCCTTATTTGAAATGATGAAATCAGAACAAAAAATAGGCGAAGTGGGGAAGTGAACACAGAGAGTGCAAATATCCTGGGACAAAAATGCACTAAACATATTGAAATGACTGCAGTGAGAAACGGTATCAGAAAGAGAACGAGAGTGTAGAAAATGGTAGAGATAAACTCTGAGAAAGGGTGAGAAGCCTTATCACATGGTCCTTGGTGATCACATGGCAAAGCTTTTAACATTTTTTCCTGAGTGAGATAGGAAACTCTTTAGGTGATTTTGAACAAAGAAGTTCCATCATCTAATTACTTTGACAACTATCACCCTTAGTGCTTTTTGTCTAATAGACTGCAGAGATGACAGATGGAAGTCACGGGAAGTGGCAAGAGCACATGGAAGAGGACTGAAGAAGAATCGGGACGCGGGATGGGATGAGGGTGGAAAGTGATAACCAGCTTGACCCATCTTGAGCCATCTTGGTCTTCTCTTCTTCATCTCTCCTGCAGGAACCCATAGGCAGCTCAGCCCTCCTTTATCAACTTCAATGAGTACCTTTACTCATACAGCACACAGCTCACCTATTGGTATTTCAATAAAAATGAAGAAAAAAACCCCTGTCTTTTTAGGTTCTCTAATAAAACATATAATTTTAATTAAAATAGGGGGTGAGAGAAAATGAAGTAGAAGCTAACTGATTTTTCTAGGTTTATGGCCCATATAATATCTGAACTTTGCTGAGTGAAAGGAACTGACTGTGATTAATCCCCCACAGTAGGATTAAAGGAGATGGTGCCTAAAACTACAGTGAGATACCATCTCACATCCATTAGAATGTCTAATATCAGAACAAACAAACATAAATTAACAAGTTTTGGCAAGGATAGGGAATTTTGGGAACCCTGTGCACCGGTGGTAAGAAATAGACAGCTTCTGTGGGATATGGTATGACAGGCCTTCAAAAAATTAGAAGTTGATTTACCATGGGACGCAGAAATCCCACATCCCCTCTCTGGGTATATACCTAAAATAACTGAAAGTAGAAACTCAAAGATATATTTGTACGCTTATTGTGTGTGCGGGGCGGGGAGAGGAGCTAAAAACCCAGGAATTTATTTTCTCACCATTCTGGAGACCAGAAGTCTGAAATCAAAGTGCCAAACAGGGCCACAATCCCCCCAAAGCCTCTTGGGAAAAATCGTTCATGGTCTCCTCAAGCTTCTGGTGACTTTTGGAGTTCCTTGACTTGTGGTTTCAGGACTTCGGTGTCTGCCTCCGTCTTCTGTCTCTTATGAGGACACCTGTTGTTGGATTTAGGACCTACCCAGATAATTCAGCATACTCTTCTCATCATAACATCAACAGAATGACATCTACAAAGACTTTCTTTTTTCCAAATAAGGTTGCATTTACAGGTTTGGGGTGTTAAGATGTGAACGTATATTTTTAGAGGTCACCATTCAACCCACTACAACTATGGACTCTGTCTTTGACAAAAGGTTACTACAGGGAATTAACGGCATGATTTGTCTACATACAAGATGCAGGTTGATACATTGCCCAGGAATCATTTCTTGTTTCCAGTATGCAAATTTTATCTCTTTTTTAAGTTCTAAGTTTTATGCCCAGGGCTTTTAAAATTGAATTAATCCATGTGATTTATTAAGTAGTATCATTCTATTGTCTTCTGGGCTCATAAGATTCTGTGGAGACGTTTGCTGTTAGCTTTATTTGTTTTCCTCAATAATGAAGCCAAAGCCTCTTCTATGGCAGCTATTGAGAGTAGACTTTTTCACGTGAATTTTCAAAACTGTGATTACAATATGCCTTTCTGTGTTTTTGTTTACGTTTGATTACCATGTTTAGGGTTTGTTGAGTTTTTTTTGGATTTGTGGGCCTGTTACCGCCATTCAACTTGGAAATATTTTGGTCATTATTACTTCGGACTTATTTTTTATGACTTCTCTTTCTGGGACTTGAGTTATATATACTTGGGGAGATCTTCAGACAAGCAAAATTAACTTTTGGAGGTCAGGCCCCTTGTAGTCCCAGCTTCCCCCTCTAAGTAAGTGTTCTAGGAACCCATCAGCATCAGCGTACCAGCTAGCATTGTCCCGAGAGGCTGCATTTGGCTGCAGTGAATTTTTTTTGGAAAGTCTTTCAAAACATTTGCCCATTTCATGATGGTATATTTATGTGCACATCTGCCCCATCCTCCCTATTTACCCAATCTCACCCCGACAGACATTTTTGTTTGTTTGTTTCCCCAGATGAAAAAAGTCCTCAAAAGGAAATGTTTCTCTGATGTGGAAGAGGTGAAACAAAAACCAGCAGAAGCACTAACAGGCATACAAATTGATGAGTTCAAAATATGAGGAAACTCTGGTTTATATACATGGTGGAGTATTACTCAGCCATAAAGAAGAACAAAATCATAACCTTCACGGCAGTCAAAAACTGTGATACTCAATTAACTATCACAGCAACAAAAAATGAATACCACACAGTGTCACTCATCAGTGGGCCCTTATCACTTGTCACATCAGCACAAGGAGGGGATTGGCAGTTGTTGGAAACTGCTAGGGAAGGGAGAGAGGGAGGAAAGAGTATGGGACAAGTGACAACACAGAGGGTACCTGGTCCACTACCAGGAAGAGTGAGACCCAGCTTGAAGCCCAAACTTCACCTGCATGCAGTCTACTTGTGTTATTGGTCCTAACTTGTACCTCAAAGCTCTATAATAAATAAATACATTTTTCAAAAAATTGTTTTGCGCAGTGGAAAATCTGTTTCAATAGGGGTATTGCATCAAACAGAGAGTACTTTGAAGGTCACTGAAGTTGAAACATCTATCAATAAATATACACATTTTAAATAAATTCCATTTGGGAGGGTTCACCTCATATGTCAGCTTTCTATTGTCCCAAGAGTCACTCAGTCTTGAAAAAAAAGCCAACTTAAAAAAAAGAAACAATAAATAAAAAGATGATAAGTGCAAAAATAAAAGGAAAGACCACATACTCATTTTCGTAGCAGCATTTGCTCACATTATCTAAAACATGGAAGCCACCCAGGTATCCATGGGCTGATGAATGGATAAGCCTAAGTTGGTTATATATGTAATGGAACATTATTCAGCCTTGAAAAGGAAGGAAATCCTGTTTATGATACAATATGAATGCACATATTGCGAAGTCGTGTAAGTCAGTAACACACTGCATGATCCCCTTATATGAGGCTTATAGAGTGTCAGATTCATGGAGGCAAAAAGTGGAATGGTTGTTGCCAGCAGCTGGGGACAGGGGGAGATAAGGAGTTATTATTCCATGGGTAGATTTCAGATTTATAAGGTGAAAAGAATTCTGGAGGTGGATAGGGTGATTCTTAGTCAACATTATGAATGTATTTGATACCATTGGACTGTACACTGAAAATGACTAAGATGGTAAATTCTGTGTTATATACATTTTAATCACAATAAAAAATTGGAAAAAAAGTGATGATGCAATCGAACATGAGAAATGATGGAGAGAATGACTTGAGGGCAACAATGATCAAACTACACAGAGGAGATTTAATCTACTGGAATAACAGTGCTGAGAGAAGTAACTAGGGTAATAAATATCATTTATTGTTTCCCAATAAATAAAAAAAAAATCATGCCATCATCAAATATTAAGTATAATAGCATAGCGATGTGGCAGTGGGAGTGAGCTAAATTTCACTTTTAATAAGTGGTAGTCAATGGCATTATTTGTATTTTATATCCCAGGAAATAAAGAGATAAAATAGGCATCATGGAGGTTCAATGATTACCACTAAAACAAATGAAATAATTTAGGGAAATTA